AAACAAAAGTCCTCACAACTGGACCAATAAGCAACATCATGATAAACAGAGAAAAGATTGAAGTTGTCAAGGATTTCATTTTACTTGGATCCATGGTCAACACCCATGGAAGCAGCAGTCAAGAAATGAAACAACGCATCGCATTGGGCAAATCTGCAAAAGACCTCTTTAAAGTGTTAAAAAGCAAAGATGTCTCCTTGAAGACTAAGGTGCGCCTGACCCAAGCCATGGTGTTTTCAGTTGCCTCATATGCATGTGAAAGCTGGACAATGAATAAGGAAGACCAAAGAAGAATTGAGACCTTTGAATTATGGTGCTGGTGAAGAATATTGAATATACTGTGGACTGCCAAAAGAATGAACAATTTTTTCTTGGAAGATGTACAACCAGAATGCTCCTTAGAAGCAGGATGGTGAGACTTCGTCTCATGTACTTTCGGACATGTTATCAGGAGGGATCAGTCCCTGGTGAAGGAGTTCCTGCTTGGTAAAGTAGAGGGTCAGTGAAAAAAGGAAGACCCTCAATGAGATGGATTGATAGAGTGGCTACAACACTGGGCTCAAGCATAACAATAATTGTGGGGAAGGCACAGGACTAGGCTGTGTTTCGTACTATTGTACATAGGGTCGCTATGAGTTGGAACCAACTTGACAGCATTTAATAACAATAAAGGATACAATGCAGGATCAGCGTAAGGAAGAGACGCATAGGGCATTGTGTGGGAGGGTTCAGAACGTAGAGCTTCTGTGTCCAGAGCCTTTATTGGGGGTCTCATTACGTAATGCAAATGCCAGCCCCTTTCCCCTGAAGTCAGTGGCTATCACAAGATGACCATGAGGCATCGTGCGGTGGGACTCTCTGGCCTGGCCACAATGAAGTAATCATCACGAGGTATGTCCCTCTGGCCTGGCCAGTCCCCTACCCCAGAGTTTCCGCTCTGGCATAACTTGTCAGGTCTGGAGTCCTTATGGAGGACACTTAAACCATTAGAGAAATCGCAAGTCTTTTTTCCTTAGGGATTATTTCAGAAATCGAGGTGATGTAAAATCCACATACCTGTACCTCATAACATACAAAAATTAACTAAAAATGGATCATAGACTTAAATATAAGAGCTAAAACCATGAAACCCTTATAAGAAAACATAGGAGTAAATCTCTGTGATCTTGGTCCTGGATTAGGCAGTAGTTTCTTACATATGACACCAAAAGTACAAGCAACAAAAGAAAAAATAAATTGGACTTCATTAAAATTAAGAAAGTGAAATGACAAGCCACAAAATGGGAAAAAATATTTGCAAATCCTATGTCTGATAAGGGACTTGTATCCATAATTTATAAAGAACTCTGACAACAGTAAAAAGACAAATAACCCAGTTAACAAATTGGAAAAGGTTTCAGATAGATACTTCTCCAAAGAAGATATGCAAATGGCCAATAAGCACATGAAAAGATGCTCAGCATCATCAGTCATTAAGAAAACAGAAAACCAAACCCATTGCTGTCAAGTTGATTCTGACCCATAGCAACACTGTAAGATAGAGTAGGAACTGCCCCATAAGGTTTCCAAGGAGCAGCTGGTGGATTCAAACTGCCAACTGTTTGGTTAGTAGCTATTTCACTTAACCATTGCGCCACCAGGGCTCCCATCAGTCATTAGGGCAATACAAATCAAAACCACATTGAGATGCCACTTCATACCCACTAGACAGTTGCTGTCTGGTTGACTTCGACTCATGTCAACCCCACATGTGTTAGAAGACAGACAACAACAAATGGTGCCAAGGATGTGGAGAAATTGGAACCCTCATACACTGCTGGTGGGAATGTAAAATGGTGCAGCCACTTGGAAAAACAGTCTGTCATTTCCTCGAAACGTTAAGCAAGCATAGAATTACCATATGAGCAGCAATGCTATTCCTAGGTATATGCCCGAGAGAATTAAAAACATATGTCCGCACAAAAACTTGTACACGAATCTTCATAGCAGCATTATTCATAATAGCCAGAAAGTGGGAAACAACTCAGATGTCCATCAATTAATGCATGGATAAACAAAATGTGGTATAAACATACATGGAATATTATTCAGCCATAAAAAGGAATGAAGGAGGGGAAAAAAAAAGGAGTGAAGTACTGATAAATGCTGTGAGTGAACTTTGAAAACATTATGCTAAATGAAAGAAGCCAGACACAAAAGGGCCTCATATGATTCCATTTATATGAAATGTCCAGAATAGAGAAACCCGAAAAGACAGAAGGTAGATTAGTGTTTGCCAAGGGCTGTGGGGAGGAGGCAAATGAGGAGTGACTGCTAATCGGTATGGGGTTTCTTTTTGAGGTGATGAAAATATTATGGAATTAGATAGTGATGATGGGTTGCACAATCTTGTTTATATACTAAAAACCAGTGAAGTGTATGCTTTAATTTAAATGGATGAATTTTTTGGTATGTGAATTATGCCAATAAAGCTGTAATTTTAAAAAAAAAAAGTGTAAAGAGGCCCTCAGACCAATAAAAGTTGAGAGCTGCTGATAAAAAGAAAAATGCTCCCAATTAATCTATATATATAGTGCTTTATCATTTAGAAATTTTAAAAACATTCACTGAACTAGTTAAGACTTACTTAGACAAATTATTATCATATATCACTCTGCAAATGTAGAAAGGGAAATAAAAGCAAAAATAAATTTCTTAAGTTTTCCCACTGAACACTTGAAATATTTATGATGTAAACCATTTGTCTCGTTGATTGTTACAGGGATCTCCATCCACCAAGCGAAGAGGACAGATGTTACAGCCAATCATAGAAGGAGAAACGGCACATTTTTTTGAAGAAATCAAGGTAATCATTTAGAGAGATCATTCTGTGATCTCTTTCCTAAGGGAAAAGTTGAAAGTCATGGCCTGTTTGATTCTCTGCATGAATATCTTTTTAGGAAGAAGAAGAAGATGGTGTCAGTCTGTCATCTGAGTTAAGTGATATCTTGAAAACGGCTGTACAGGCACAGTCTTTTTCAAGTTCATTGGAAAACTCAGAATCTGATGTTGAAGAAAATCAAGAAAAATTGGCTCTGGATCTCCGACTGTCAAGTACTCGAGCGGCTTCTATGTATGTATGCTGGTTTGTGATTTTATTTGTAGAATAAAATTTATTATATTTTTTATAAAACCAAACCCACTACTGTTGAGTCCATTCCAACTCATAGCGACGTTACAGGACAGAGTAGAACCGTCCCCATAGGATTTCCAAGGAGGAACTGGTGGATTTGAAAACTGCCAACCTTTTAGTCAGCAGCCAAGCTCTTAACCTATATGTGATATTTTCCCTTTCTATACTATACTGTATATATACATATATACATACACACACACACATTTAGTATAATAAAGTTTATTATAACAAGAGATTCTGTGTTACATAATTGAGCACTTGGGGGAAATTAATACAATGCTCAAGAGATACACCCTTTTTTAAAAATGTGATTTTCAAATACCTGTTGTCATTCCCATTTCCTTTTTAATTAGTGTTTAAATTTTTTTTTTAATCTAAAATTCTACATTTGATGCCTGACAGACTACAGGAACCAGCTGAGTTTACCTGCTAGTTTGCTGTATATCAGCTTCTTTACCTGTGGACTGTATGGTGTATGACAGTGGTTCACAATCTTGGCTGCATTATACCATCAGGAGGGAAGGTTTTTTTTTTTTTTTAAGTACTGATGCTGAGTGCTATTAATTGGTCTGTGGTAGAGCTTAGGCACTGATATGTTCTAAAAGCTCCCTAGCTGATTTTAATTTGCAGTGAGAATATAATGAATCAGTAGTGCCCTTTCAGTGTTTTCCTCCCATTTTACTTTTAGGCCTGAATTATTGGAACAACTTTGGAAAGCCAGAGCTGAAAAAAAGAAACTACGTAAAACACTACGGGAATTTGAAGAAGCATTTTATCAACAAAATGGAAGGTTTGTTGGGCATCATAAAATTGAGTCATCATTCTCTCTTAATTTACAAGTTGCCCGTATGTTAAAATAATGGAACAAACAGGATTAGGCATAAATTCTGCATATAAGGATGTTAGCTTTGAAAATGAAATTTAAAAAGATTCCTATATACACTGAAGCCCTGCTATTAATGTCAAGGAAAAGTCAGAGCTGGAATAAAAATATCTGATAAAATATTTCCGGACTGTTTTAGGGGAAGCCTAGTTGAGTGGCAGTGATTTTATGTTTTTTAATTTAACATCCTCACCCTTGTAGGAAGGTTGTGAAACAAAATGTTTTTCCCTTTTAGAAAGGATCCCATAACGGGAATGGTATCTTCAGCTGCTTTGGATTCTTAATTTTTATACTGAGATCTTTGCTACTTGGGCTGCATATTTGGTCATTCCAGGCTGCCCATATCCTGGTGTGCAGTAAGAGTGTGGCAGTCCATGTGGCCTCTATAATATAATGTGGCATGTGCCTTCATCTAGTAACTAGTTGACCTAGCTGAGCTTTTTTTTTTAGTGGCAAAATATATATAATGAAGCATTTGACATTTTAATCATTTTTATGTGTACAATTCAGTGAGATTAATTACGTATTACATTTACCATGTTGTGCAACCATTACCACTATTTATGAAAGTTTTCCATTACACCCCAAACAGAAACTCAGTACTCTTATGCAGTACCTCTCCATGCCTCCCTTACCTCAGCCCCTGGTAATTACTAATAAACTTTATTTGTTATTTTATTGTGGTAAAATATATATAACACAACATTTGCTATTTCAGCCATTTTTATGTATACAACTCAGTGACATCAGTTACATTCACCATAATGTACAGCCATCACCATACACATTTCCAAAATTTTTTCCATCACTCTTAACAGAAACTCAGTGCCTTTTAAGCATTAACTCCCTCTTTCCCCCTTCCACCTGCTTGATAACCACTAATAAACTTTCGTCTTTATGCATTTGTGTATTTTAGATATTTTATGTAAGTGGGTCATATAGTGTTTGTCCTTTTGTGTCTGACTTATTTCACTTAGCATAACATTTTCAAGGGTCATCCATGTCTTAGCATGTATCAGAACTTCACTTTTCTTTATAGCTGAATAGTATTCCATTGTATGTATGTACCACATTTTATTTATTCATCTGTTGATGGACACTTGGGTTGTGTCTACCTTTTGGCTATTATAAAATGCTAGGCTCTTTTAAAAGTAAGAAAAATACATTCCAGTTCAGAAATGATGGTTAAATGATCTCAGGCCTCAGAAACTCTTTCCAAAACTGGGTCGTTTTACCAGGCCAGTGGCTATATTACAAGTTCCCAAATGTGTTTACTTTAAAAAAAAAAAAAAAAAAAAGTTAATTTCCTCTGCTTTGAGAGTCTCCTATATAGGCTGGCATAGATGTTTCAGATATCTCAAGAGCAAGAATGCATTTTCCAAGTACCTTCTGTCTTTGTCTTATTGGAAGAAAATTTTGCTCCTGATTATAGTTAGAATTTGATGCTTTACCCAGTGACTACATTGGATTGCATTGGGTCATTATTAATATAAGATGGGAAAACTACTCTTTTGCTAAAGTAAGATGTTTTACATTTCAATTGATTGAAGCCGAAATTAACTAAATCTATGAGATGACCTCTAGCATTTAATATACACTGACAAACCTGGCAGGGCCTGGCAATGAATATCTTATGAAAATATTTTGGTTACCTCTAGTTATCTACCTTGATCATTGATAAGGAGTATAACACTACTTAATCTTTATATATAGAGGAAGCCATCAAAAATAGGTGTGTTTTAGGAATCTTCCTTGGGGGTGGGAGTAATCCAATAACCTTTTTTTCCCCATTTTTCTTTCTTTTCCTGTTGTTCCACCTACACCCTAACACTGTGGGACCCATATCAGTGAACCCTGGTCTTTTTTTTTTTTGCAGGGCAGCTTTTTATTTGAACTTGTATTTGATAACTTTGTGTCTTATATTCGGACAACTTGTGGGTCTTTATTTTCCAGATAATCTCTAGAATATTAAAGATTTTCTTTTTCTCCCTAAGGAATGCCCAGAAAGAGGATCGTGTTCCAGTGCTTGAGGAGTACAGGGAGTACAAGAAAATTAAAGCCAAACTTAGGCTTCTTGAAGTTCTTATCAGCAAACAAGATTCTTCAAAATCCATATAGAACATCATAAAATCACTTGTATTCCCTGAAGCTATCATCATGTGTTCTTGGCTGGTTTTCGATTTCATTTTATCAGGCACTCAGAGAATTTCGTTTTGTACTTGGTTGTGGTGCAACTAAAGAAATGATGGGAGAGTAAGTTGGCCCTCTACAGGGAACGTAAGTGATGTTCCATATAAACCACAGACTGTCGTCTCCATCTTTAGTAAAAATGCAGTTTTCCTTCATTGTTTTGTACTACAGATACATCCTGTTTCCAAAAGACTAGAATTTTATCCTTTCAACTTCAAGAACTTTGGAAATACAAGTTTTTTTTTTATTACCAACTTTATTATTTTTTCATTTCTGAAGAAAATTGAGAGGAAAATCTTCACATCACACTGAAGTCTTCAGTTGCCTTTTTCTTACAGAATGACTGAAAATTTGAAAGAAAAGCCTGTAAAAGTGCACATATGCAACTGTGTTCTATCTTTTCCTAGAAAACCAAAATCAGACTGAAATTTCAAGTCGTACTACGGAACCACCTTTATGTTCAATTCCCAAAATGACACTTTCTCACAGGTAGTATGTTAGCAAAATTACCTAATTTGGTGGTCACACATCTCCTGGATGAAGATAACAGTAGGTAGACCAAAAAGTGACCTTGTTTAGTATATTGATAATACACACCACACACAAAACTGAATCATATCACATGCTGCCTATGGGACTTAAGTTACTGTTTGTTTTCTCAGTTACTGTGTATCAGCTGGTGATGATACTATTTGGATCAGATCTGCATTGTTCCCCCCATCCACCATAATGTGAGAAAATAGCCATGTCAGTATGTAGGAAGTCTGTTGGTGCTCAGATTTGTATGTTCAATCAACTGGGCCTAAACTGGCAAAAGAATCATTATGCCTAAAGTAAATTTGTTCTTAACAAGGGCTAATACCACTGCATTTTTTACATGTACCTTCAGAGGAGTTGCATTGTTGCTGTTGTTTTCCTTCTAGTCAGCAAAGTCCACGCAAAAACACCCTCTTTTGCTCAGTCACAAACTGTTTAAAGCAGCTGGTTATGGGATGTCTAGTGGTATGCCCTTTGACATATACTTTAAGGATATCTTTTTTTGTTGTTGGCTTTGCATGGCTTTTCTTCTGGTACTCTACTAGTATCATTCTGCTAATTATTTTTACAGAATGGTGACTTTATTTGTGCTAACAGTACAGCAGTCATTAATAGCAGATTTTGTTCAGGCTTAATCTAAGTTTTATTTTCTTTTTCCTGGTGCTTTTTTGATGAGCGTGTCTCATTTTGACTGTGGCCATGTTTTGCATGCAGTGACTGATGCATGGTTTTCTTACTAGCTAATATTAACAGTTTGTTCCATACAAAAACAGACTTGCAAAATTCTTTAATAAGATGAGGGAAGCATGAACCTTAGATTTCTGGCACTACTGTGTAGTAAGCACGTAAAGTAGCTTGATAATAAATAGTGTTTCTAGTACTTCACATTTCACCTGTGCGTGCAGTGCCTTTTTTGGGGGGAGGGAAAATCCAGTGGTAGTGAACGTGTAGTTGGGGAATAAAACAAGCACTAAATCCAGCCCTTTTTGCATGGTTTCTTTTGATACAGCTAGGTTATTCATAATATATACCTTGGAAAGTAAAATGGAAAACACCAGAAGATGTATCACTTTGATTTGAATCCATCATGCAGTGTACATTTCAGTTAATTTCTTACAGTCTCTAAACAGGAATGTATCCAAACATCGGATTTCATGTGCACTGTATATTGTTTTATATGAATGTTTGTGTTTTATATACCACATGCAAAAATGTCCATATGCACTATTTAAATGTTTTAAATAATATATTCCTTCTTTATAATGCTTAAATCTATATGAGTACAATATTTTTATAAGTCAGTGACCTGACTGGTTTCATTTTAAAATTAACAGCTGCTTCATGATGTTTGTTATTCAATGTTAATGTTTGGCTGTTAAGTAGAATAGATAAAAGTGGCATGGCAGCACTTATGCTATGTGACAGTATTGTGTGTCATAGTTGAGCAGTTAGGTGGTAGAACTAGGCAATTTGTGATAGTTTTACAAGTCAAAACTGTATATCTATATACAAACAATATATAGATATATATATGTCTACCAGTGTAATTGCATTGCTGTGTCTGGCACTTCATTGTATAGACTTTTGTAATAAAAGAACTTAATCTTTAATGTTCTGAGTCATTATAAATGTTTTTTTGTTTTTCCACTAGGTGTTAAAAAAAAGAAAAAAAAAAAAAACACAGACCTGAAGTGTTCCCTTGCCTTAATATTCTTAGGCTTTGTTGGAATTACCCCAACCAGAGACCATGGGTGGGGGACAATAGGGTTACTAAACCACTTGAGGACTGGCTGCAGCTCTGGAGAGTGGTAAGGCAGGGAAAGACCACCTTGTTTATTTCCTTGTGGCTATCTAGGGAGAAGATTTAGAGCACAGTCTGCATTTCTTGTTGCAGTGAATTATCCTATTAAGAAAACTTGATGCACAGTCCTTAAGACAGGAGCTTGGCCTGTTGAGGGTGGTGGTGACTAAAAAATTCCTCTTGAGTTTTAAAATCCAGGTACTATTAAGCATTAATGTGGAAGTTGAGGGCTATGGTCAAGTAATGTTGCTTGGGCTAAGAGAATACATGGCTATTCTTAGAGGGATATGTAGCCTAGAAACAGGAGAAGTTTCCTTCCAGTTTCAAAAAACAACTTTCCAACTAGCCAAGCAGGATGCTTACAGCAACCGCATTTACACTTTTCAAACATAACTTGACTTCTTATGCACTGATACACCTGATCTTTTGTTTTTTTAAGTATATTTTGCTTTTAAAGTAGTTGAGGAAGCATACTTGGGAAATTTTAAATGCACTGCTATAGAAACTGTATAGATGAATTTCCAGTTTGAAGATATTAGCTAAGCTTCTGTTGGTGGTTGGGGAGTTTGTTCTACACTCTCTTTTTCCGGGAGACTTTGAATTATGAGGATTGGAGGGATGAGATTATTTGAGGTTGTATGTATTGGTTTTCCAGAATCTTAAGCATTTACTAATTTATCTATGGCCAAAGGAAGCCAGAACACGACACATTTGAGAGCACTAGCAGATCTTTTATATCCTGTGTAACTATGAGGAAACTGGTTTTCTGTCTCTACTTACTGAACAATTAGAAAGAAAGCTGTCCTATGAACTATAAGCAGCATTATTTTGTACTTTCCCTTCACATTCCCAGAATTTAATAATCTCATTATAGAATTCTGTGTGTGTCATTGTGTGCATACTCTGGAAGTATGTTGTCATATGCATGGATTGTATAGTGGGTCCCACTCAGGGGTGCTTAATTCCTGGAAATCGTTTGGTGAATATCATTGTCCCTGAGGATGGTGTCTTAAAGTGTACCTAAAATGAGGATGAATTTAAGAAATAATTCAATACATGAAAATATCTTTTTAGAAATGTTCAATGATTGCATTACAGATTCTCACCTTGTCTCAGTTTTGTAGAGCTGAAAACTTTCTCATCACTTGGTTTAGTTTTAAACTGACATAGTGTAATTCCTTCTCCAGTTCCACGGCATATAAAAAGAGTCTAGAAGGTAATTTAGAAGGAAGCAGAGCATGAATCAGTAACATACTTTCTTGCGTAGAGGGACAATAGTTTATTGGTGCCTATTATTAAATGCTTCGAGTAGGAAGATAGTGTTGTAAGCTCGTACAACATGCTTAGTATGACCAGTTACGGATCTGATATTCTAAAGCTGTGGAGAATAATATCTGCTCTGCATATCAATTATAAATAGCAGTTCCTTGGAGAAGTAAGAATAAAACAGTTGGTCTCACTGTCACCTTACATTTAATCAAATGCAATCTTCTGCTTTCTGTTTAATTTTAAAACTGGGTAAAAATGGGGGAAAAAAGTGGTATCTCAACAGAATAAAGTTCTGGGTTCAGTAAAATAATCTGTGATGGTTTCCCCAACCCCCTGTATTATGATATCTCATAATACCCTGGTTAGAACAAATGCTTACTCTCGAAATTCTTGTTGAGTGACAGGCTGGTAGTCATCTTCAGTTTCTGTAGAATAATACTTTTTCTCAAGTCTCTCTTTCCATTTTTTCATCTGCTTTGCACTTTCAGTCTCCTGTCAAGTTAAAAGAAAAGAATAGGCTTTGACTTTTTAAGAAAATTACTTTATCTCAAGTCTTTGGCACACAAGCATCACGGAGTTGAGTATTTTAAACTACTCCTCTGCTTTCCAGGCCTCTGATTTTGAGCTCTACTGGCTTTTGGCTCTGCCTGATTTTAGGTCTGTGCATTTATTAGCAAAGTCACTTTAGAGGACTTTGTGTAAGAACTGTTCAGCCTAATACCAACTTTTTCTCATTTCATTGCCCCTTCATTTCTGTATGTGCAGCTGAATTTATTCCTGATTTTGTCATTTCACTTGGCCAAGGTGGAGATGTCTTTTCTGTACCTCTGCTGTTTAGTAAAGCAAATGGGCTTCAAAGTAAATCTGCGGCTATTTGTCCTTCTAGCTACTTCTCAGCCAGACTGCTACCGTCCTACCTAACAATCCCAAATCTGTCTTGTGCCTTGGTTAGTCAACCTGTGTACTCCAGTCCACATACCCAAAAATAAGCTCATCACATAAGAAAAATTCTTATTGCTGCCGGCTTTTCTGATCCTAAATAGTCGTTCCCATACTTTGTCCTCACTTCCACGCACTTACAGTGTCCAAATACCTTTCTCCCAACTTCAGAAAAAAGCCCTGTACATTGTGGAAGTTAATAGGCACAGCCCTAGAAAAAGAGAGGGAAAGAGGAGGCAGTGCACCAAAAAGCATCTTGGTAAATCAGGGTTTGATACTGCCCTGCTCCAGCAATAATGCAGGTAAGCAAAGTGAAGCCCTATATATAAGGATTCTGATTACCTTCCTCAGAGAAGACGGTGATGCCTGAGTTCAGACACTGCTTGATTAATGTGTACTGTTCCGGTCAGAGAAGCAAATTGTGTTATACCTTTCTTTAAACCAACATATCTGAAGTAGCAAAGGGTGGCTTTCAATCTTTCTCGTTTTATTTTGAACACTTTACAGCACCCTTGTTTTGACAGATTTACTAATTTTAATGTAGTGTTAAAAAAGCAGTAGACCTCGAAACCATTTCTAAATGACTAGACCAATTCTAATGTGGAGGTATTAATAATATGGGCTGAATAGACTGTCTAGTAAACTGTACTCATCCTTCAAAAGACTCATCAACCATCACTTTCTCTGTGAAGCCTTCCTGACATTCATAGGAAAATGGTACCTTTCCTCATAAATAGAGCACCAACCCTGTGAGGCACTTCCTCCAAGCTAGCTCCTGGTCACCCCAACTCTTCCCTAAGCCTAACCCTAGAGATGATAGTTGCCTTCTGCAGTTGTCTCTGGATTACCTCGTGTTAGTCTTCCAGTACCTCAAAAACCAGTTCCTTGTAGTAAATCTTTCTTCTGTACTACCTAGACTGATTTCTGTTTTTCTGACTGAACCTTGATAGAATACTTGGTGGTAGGGGAGGTCCAAAGAAACAGACCCTTATATTAAGCATGCTTCCACCAAGAGGTACAACAGTAGTTCCACTGACTAAGAATTTGAGACTGTTGTTGTTAGGTACCTGTTGAGTGGGTTCCGACTCTTAGGAACTCTGTACAACAGAACCAAACGCTGCCCAGTCCTGCACTCTCCTCAGTCATTGCTGTGTTTGAGCCCACTGTTGCAGCCACTGTGTCAGTCCATCTAATTGAGGATCTTCCTCTTTTTCGCCGACCCTCTGCTGTAGTGTGATGTCTTTCTCCAGGGACTGGTCCCTGCTGATAACATGTCCAAAATAAGTGAGACAAAGTCCGGCCATCCTCACTTCTAAGGAGCATTCTGGCTGTACTTCTTCCAAGACAGATTTGTTTGTTCTGGCAGTTCATGGTATATTTACTCTTTGCCAACACCATAATTCGAGTGCATCAATTCTTCAGTCTTCCTTATTCATTGTTCAGCTTTCACAGGCAATTGAAAATACCATGGCTTGGGTCAGGCGCACCTTAGTCCTTGAAGTGACATCCTTGCTTTTTAACACTTTAATGGGTTTTTTTTTTTGCAGCAGATTTGCCCAATGCAATACGTCATTTGATTTCTTGACTTCTGCTTCCATGGGCATTGATTGTGGATCCATGTAAAAGGAAATCCTTGACAACTTCCATCTTCTCTCCATTTATCATGATGTTGCTTATTGGTCCAGTTGTGAGGATTTTTGTCTTCTTTCTGTTCAGGTGCAATCCATACTGAAGGCTGTGGTCTTTGATCTTCATCAGTAAGTGCTTCAAGTCCTCTTCACTTTCAGCAAGAAAGGTTGTGTCAGCTACGTAACGTAGGTTGTTAATGAGTCTTCCTCCAATCCTGATGCCATGTTCTTCATATAGTCCAGCTTCTCGGATTATTTGCTTAGCATACAGATTGAATAAATATGATGAAAGAATACAACCCTGGTGCACACCTTTTCTGATCTTAAACCACACAGTATTCCCTTGTTCTGTTGGAACAACTACCTCTTGGTCTATGTACAGGTTCCGCATGAGCACAATTAAGTGTTCTGGAATTCCCATTCTTCGAAGTGTTATCTGTAATTATTATGATCAGTGCAGTCGATTGCCTTTACATAGTCAATAATACACAGATAAACATCTTTCTTGTATTGTCTGTTTTCAGCCAAGATCCATCTGACATCAGCAGTGATATCCCTTGCCATATCCTCTTCTGAATCTGACTTGAATTTCTGTCAGTGTACTGTTGCAACTGTTTTTGCATTATCTTCAGAATTTTACTTGCATGTGATATTAATGATATTGTTCAATAATTTCCGTGTTCCGCTGGGTCACCTTTCTTTGGAATGGGCATGAATATGGATCTCTTCCAGTCAGTTGGCCAGGTAGCTGTCTTCCAGATTTCTTGGCATACACAAGTGAGTGTTTCCAGCATTACTTCTGTTTCTTGAAGCATGTATTTGGTATTCTGTCAGTTCCTGGTGCCTTTTTTTTTTTTTTTGCCAATGCCTTCAGTGCAACTTGGACTTCTTCCTTCAGAACAGTTGGTTCTTGATCATATACTACCTCTTGAAATGGTTGAACGTCAACCAGTTCTTTTTGGTACAGTGACTCTGTGTATTCATTCCTTCCATCTTTTGATGCTTCCTGGGTTGTTCCTTTTTTTGCCCACAGAATCCTTTAACATTGCAACTCAAGGCTTGAATATTCATTTCTTTCAGCTTGAGAAATGTCGAACATTTTCTAACTCCAGGTCTTTGCACATTTCATTATAATATTTTACTTTGTCTTCTCGAGTCACCCTTTGACATCTTCTGTTCAGCTCTTACTTCATCATTTCTTCCTTTCGCTTTAGCTACTCTACGTTCCAGAGGAAGTTTCAGAGGCTCGTCAGACATCCATTGTGGTCTTTTCCTGTCTTTTTAATGATCTTTTGCTTTCTTCACGTATGATGTCCTTGGTGTCATCCCACAACTCATCTGGTCTTCAGGCATTAGTGTTCAGTACATCAAATCTGTTCTTAAGATGGTCTCTAAATTCAGGCGGGATATATTCAAGGTCATATTTTGGCTCATGGACTTGTATTAATTTTCTTCAGCTTCAGCTTGAACTTGCATATGAGCAATTGATGGTCTGTTCTGCAGTTGGCCCCTGGCCTTGTTCTGATTGATAATATTGAGCTTCTCCATCGTCTCTTTCAACAGATGTAGAAGATTTGATTCCTGTGTATTCCATCCAGTGTGAGGTCCAGTGTATAGTCGCCGTTTATGTAGTTGAAAAAAGGTATTTGCAATGAAGAAGTCTTTGGTCTTGCAAAATTATATCATGTGATCTCCAGTGTTGTCTCTATCACCAAGGCCATATTTTCCAACTACTGATCCTCCTGTGTTTCCAACTTTCACATTCTAATCACCAGTAATTATCAGTGCATCTTGATGGCATGTTTGATCAATTTCAGACTGCAGAAGTTGGTAAAATATCTTCAGTTTCTTCATCTTAGGCATTACTGGTTGGTTCATAAATTTGACTAAGTCGTATTAACTGATCTTTGTAGACATATGGATATTATCCTGTCACTGACAGCATTGTACTTCAGGACAGATCTTGAAATGTTCTTTTTGACGATGAATGTGACACCATTCCTCTTCAAGCTGTCATTCCCAACATAGTAGACCATATGATTGTCTGATTCAAAGTGGCCAATTCCAGCACATTTCAGCCCACTAATTCCTAGGATATTGATCTTAAAGCATTCCATTTCATTTTTGATAACTTCTAATTTTCCTTGGAGCCCTGGTGGCATAGTGGTTAAGACCTCAGGCTGCTAACCAAAAGGTCAGCAGTTCAAATTCACCAGCCTCTCCTTGGAAACCCTATGGTGCTGTTCTACTCTGTCCTATAGGGTTGCTATGAGTCGGAATGGACTCAATGGCAGTGGATAATGGGTTAATTTTCCTTGATTCATACTGTGTACATTCCATGTTCCGATTACTAATCGATGTTTTCAGTTGTTTCTTCCCATTCTGAGTCGTGCCACATTAGCAGATGAAGGTCCCGAAAGCTTTACTACATCTATGTCATTAAGGTCAACTCTGTTTTGAGGAGGCAGCTCTTCCCCAGTCAGGTTTTGAGTGCCTTCCAACCTGAGGGGCTCATCTTGCAGCACTATATCAGACAATGTTCTGCTGTCCATAAGGTTTCCACTGGCCAATTTTCTTGGTTGTAGACAGCCAGGTTCTTCTTTGTCCTCTTAGTCTGGAAACTCCACTGAAACCTGTCCACCGTGGGTGAGTGACCCTGCTGGTATTTGAAATACTGGTCGCATACCTTCCAGCATCACAGCAACACGTAAGCCACTACAGTATGACAAACTGACAGATGTGGGAATTTGAGGCTACCACTTGGCTATTGGGGATTTCTCATACTTCTGAACCAGCAGGCAAAGAATGCCTGATGTACAGTCTAAGACAGGAGCTTGGCCTGTTGAAGGTGGATGGTGATTTAAAAAAAAATTCCTATGTGAGTTTTACAATCCAGGTATTTCTAAGTGTCAATGGTCAAGTGAT